ACTAATATTTTCCTACTTTGTTACATCCAAATCTGATTGTCTATAGAAAGGATTCCTTCAGGGGAGTTTCTCATTACCAAAAGGGCTGGCACAGACACTAATGATACTGAAGGAGAACTGTGTATCAGACTAGGACAAACTCAGTGATCTCCAAGATCCTTCACAACCTTGAGATAAAACTGCTTTTCTCACCTCAGATGACTATTTTATTCCTCCTTTTCCTGTCCTAATTCTACTGTATGTTGTCTAGGTCAAGTAGAGCTAATGTGTGTGTGTGTGTGTGTGTGTGTGTGTGTGTGTGTGTGTTTGGCTCAGTGCCTGGCACACAACAGATATTCAGTTAATTTGTTTTCTTGATTTTTTTTTTCCACAGTGACAAGAGTTACATTAATCTGTTTTCTGTTCTCCAACAATATTTGGCTGTAATTAAAAAAAAATTAGCAATTGCTTTATATGGTCATAATTTTCTTGAACTCTTGAACTACTTAATATTCTATAACATCTTTATGTGTACTGAAGATCAAATCTCTTTTAATTTCCCATAATTTGTACATAAGGGTTGAACACGTAATAGGTGGTCAATGACTATGGAGAGGGTAACTTACAAGGGAGAGTCAACATAATATAATTTAAAAATATGTAGTACTTGATCTTGTTATCCTAATTCAGTATTCGCATGGTTTGAGAAAGTCTGATTTTTTAGTTTCCTCATTAGAAAATAAGGTCAAAATCCTGACTCTACCTTCCCAGGTGTATTGCTGTAACCAAAGAATTGGGTGAATGTGAAGGACCAGACAAATAGTGAGGTAACACTTCGGTTCAGTTGCTCATTTAGTTGTAATTTTGCAAGTTCACAATAAAAAGGGCAATTTTCTTTAGCAAACCATCCTGATGACAAATGTGTGAGATTTTTTTCTCCAGCAAAGAAAAATAGAAAATTGTGTACTTCCATGCTACTTAGTGTAACAGTTGCTTATATATTACACGGATTAAAATTTGCTTCAGTCCCAAATGAGTACTTAGGGGAGTTGAAGTCTCTGGACAATAATGGATCGCCACAGTCCTCCATGAAGACAGTGGCTTCGTGGCCACATGCCAGTGCTTGGGTGCTGTTCAGACGTCTTGAGAGCATTAAGAGGTTGTGGCAGACCTCTGACCAACACAAACAACTGTGTCAAAATTAAAAATGCTATTTACTGATAGGATGGTTATTTCAGGCCAAACCTTATAATGGCTGTCTCACGTAACCTCTGTTTATTCAATCTAGATGGAATGACAAATCCAAGAGCTATTCAATCCCTGCTCCATAGAGCTGTCAAAATGACTTTTTCCAAAAAAATACACTAAACCTAAAACATGGGGCTCCCTGCTGCATTCAAAATTCAACCTAAACTCTATAGCTCAGAAATCAGTGTGTTTTACAATGAGACCTCTGCTGTTTTCTTTCAAATGTATTCCACAAATATTGACTTATTGTCTACTATGTACCCTCATTGTGCTCTCCAGACCTCTGGTTCATCACTGTTTAAGAAACAAGCCTTTTGTTTGACCTGCTTGTTCTGTTTGGAATGCAGTTCCTTCTAGGTACCTGGCAAAATCCTCTCTGTCCAGGTTCGTTTCAAATACACACTCTGTCAGTTGCGTTCACACTGTCCTGTGGTGAGAGCTCTGCCACAGCAGATCACTAGTATATCCTGCTGCCTTTCCCTGAGAATTGTGCTCTCTTAGGAGGAAAGGGCCCTGTGCTTTACTTTGAACCCCACACAACACTTAGTTTACAGGTTTAGCTAGAATTGAAATCTCAAGACTAACTTTACAAACTTGCCGTTCAGTTTATTCTTCTCATTTGCCAAAACAAAGAAAAAAAAAAAAACCCAGAAAAACAAATGTGATTTGGGTGAATCAGACCAAACAGTGGCTTCATTAATGGATTCATTCCAAATTAGTCAAATTGCTGGTTTTGTAAAAACATGACCTAAGGGAGGAGGACAAATGGAATAGAAGCATTTTCATTACAATGTCTTAATTTAAATGTCCAAAGTGATACTATTATTGTTTAACTAGATGTGATTATATATTTATCTATTTATTCTCCTGAATTGCAGTTGGAAAGCAATGACTATTTAAAATACAAAGTGTCTATTGTATGTTAATGTTATCTAAAGACTACAAATAAAAATGGGACCAGAGCTTGAGCTATGAATGATTGGCTGTCTATAAAAGGCCAATACAACTAACTAAAACAATAAGTAACATCATTTAGTTTATTTTGGCAGTTACAAGTTGCCAAATATCAACACCATTGGTATCTCCTTCTCTCTTTTTCCTGGTATCTAGTTGATTCATTTTACCTGATGCTGGGGTAAAGTGCTGAAGTATCTTCACTGCACCATTGCTACTCTGAACCATGTTCCCTCCGCTCTCCACTGACTTGAGTTAGAGGGCAGGGAAGTTAGGCAAGAGTACGCTAATCAAAGGCAAGATCCATTCTAGTTTATGCCCCTGAATCCCATTGGTTTTTTACTCCACTGGGCTGGGCTAGCCTCTTCAGGTGACACCTCGAGTTTCCTTCAATAGCTCTCTTTTGAAACTCAGAGCAGGTCTTAGGTCAACCCCGTGGTTTTCTTCCAAGCCTGGTCTTGCCTCTCCTATTTCTGTAATCTTCCCTTGTCTCCCAAGCAGAAGTTATCTACAAACCCAGAGGGTCTCCCAAATGTCCTTTCTGACATTTGATTCCTTCCCTTGAAATATATTATTTCCCAGACCAATTTCACATGAAGAAGGGCAGGAGGGAATAGAATGTTGTTTTTTTCTTCTCTTTGCCTTTTCATTGTCACACAATGGTGTTCTTTCCAGTGTGCCCTTGAAGCCAGCCAGCACCCAGACAGTGTTTGAGGTAATTGGGAGAAAAGTGATAGACAATTCTTTTACACTGTACAGTTTTTAAGCTTCCAAATATTTTGAAGTATGTGCATATTTCTATAAATTATTCAAAATACACAAGTGGTAAGTCCTACAGTATCTTAAAGCCACATATGTCTTTCATTTTTTAGTATAATAATTTGCCTTATTCTTCTTTCCTATAGTTTATTATCCCCATCTTTAATTCAGAACCTAAGTTTTAAAAGGGCTCGTAACTATATAGCTTTGCATTAAGAAGTCTCTTGTACTTTAAGGGCAACAATAACATAAAAGCAAAGAGGGATTAAGCAGATGTTATTGAGTGACTAGCAACCTTATGAAAAATATTAAAAATATTTACTGATACAAATGAATGATGTCAAACTAAAGTGGTAATGCCTAAGAGACAAAACAAAAAATCATATTACTTTGCTAGGTCCATTAATTTCTTTACTGGTATTTTAAAATGAAAGGGATACTACTTACATGAAGGAAAACCATTATTCATTTTAGACATATTTTTACTTTAAATATCAGACCTCTGAAAAGGAATGCTTACAGACAGTCCTAAGAAGATATATTTAATGGTATACTCTTTATTGTTAAAATGTGATATTTTTTACCATGTTTTTCTGGCTCTTTTATGACATTCATATTATTGATATAAAATTTATAGAAAGGAATTATCAATTCAAGATAAAGGAAAGAAAAAGCACAAATTTGAAGAAAATGAATTTAATTTAAGATGATCAAAAAAATTTCCATATAACTCAGCTATTAATAATTGAAACTAATTTATTTAATGAGATGCTGAAAAATGCCATCAGTAATCATTGCTTATTTGTTTAGTCTCTTCCATTAATTGTAAATAAACCAAGATAAAGGGAATAATTTAGAAGAAAGTGTAAAATTTTGTTTACATTGGAAAATGCAAAAAAGAAAGCTTATCTCTTCTTTCCTTCTAATTTAAGTTTATCAAGTTCTAAAGTGGAAAGAATCTTGGAAATTATTTGGCCTAACATTTTTACTTCTCTGAGATTAATACCCAGACAAGTCAGCTGACTAGCTTTATGTCACACAGCTAATTAGGGCTCAAACTAGAATTTGATCCAGAGAATTCCTGGCTTTGGGTTCAGATTTTTTTTTTTTCACAGTATCACATAACCTTTAAAATAAAGCCCAATTTGAAGTGAGTTTAAATGTTTGAACTTACTATAGCTATGGTTTTCTAATGCTTCCCAAAGTCTTTAGGTAAGAATAATCTAATAGTAAGTATATAATGGCATGTTAAATTGGATTTGTAGGGGAAAAAAAATGCACTTGGATTCATCTCTGTAGCCATTATTGAAGGAAGATTATAGCCAAATCTGTTTCCCAGCCACTCTGGTTCCATCATCTTGTTCTTCTCTGTCATTTACATCTTGAACAGTCATGGGGAAGAGGACCTCCTGTCACTCTGGGATGTTAAGCCACTCTGTGATGGTCTATAGAATTTGGTTCAAAAGATTTTCCTCTCTATTTAGTTGATTACCATATAGGTATATAATGTAACAGAAGACATTAAAAGAAAAGATTTGGCCAACAAGAAACGAGTATGTCTGTGAGTGTTTATATAAGGCAAATGTGCATTTACAACTGTGGGTTGCATGTTTAATCTGTAGAACTTGTGAAAAATGAAATCAATTCTAAAAATGACTATTTCATGAGGAGTAGGACAGGCAGACTTACTTTACCTATTAATTATATTACCATTGATGTTAACATGATTTAAAATAATGTAGTAGCCATTATATGTAGCAACATAATTTTGAGAGGTAATGTGTAGATACTGGCAATTTTAATCCTTAAAAGTGGCAAAGACATCACATTCACATAGTGAAGGAGACCGGATTACTTACTGGGAGTTTAAAAATATTTATTACTATTAGTTTGATATAAAATAATGGAATAAAGTAATTGATATAAAGTTTATGAGAATTATCGATTAAGGATAAAAGAAAATCAGTTTTAAGTTTTTCCTTTTTCTTTGAGTATTTCTATGTTTCAGTCAAAATTTCTAAAATTATTGTTATGCAAAAAGTAAAAGTGTATTCACTTACGGCCCTGATGCTTTCAAAGTGTCCACCATCTTTCTCAAAATCAATAGGTTGTCCTTTCAATGTCCAGTAGAAAGTGACATCCAAACTAGCGTCATGAATTGCTTTGCAGTTAAGGACGATGCTCTCTCCCACTGTTAACTCTGTTTTTTTAGGAGTAAGTTCTATCCTTGTAGGTTCTATGGAAATAAAAATACATTAATTACCATAATCAACATTATATACAGTTTCCCTGCATTGTACATCCTTGTGAATAACAGAGAAAAAGGCAAACAATAAATCGATACACTACTACTATTCCAGATACTTACACCAGATTTTACACATTTTTAAACAAATAATTATTAAATGAAATACTATCTTTGTCAGTGTTAGGACAGTTTACTGTGTTTGTGTAGGG